TATATATATATATATATATATAACAATTCCCCTAAGAAGGACATAATATACTGCAGGAACTGCCTTCTACTACTGTGCATTATAATTAATTAAGATAATGATTTAAGGAGGAAAGGAGCAATATATATATTATAAATATATTATATTTATAATATATATTATTATTTCCTTACATGCAAATAAGATCTGTATGCATCACGAGAAGATTTATGCAGATAATAATTTTTTTCTATAAGACGCTCAAGTTGTGTTTGTACATTCGCAAGCTTAGAGGAAGGAAAAGTATATTCATTAAGAGGTACACCAGCTTGCTTAAGATAACGAAGAAATCCTAATTCCTCAGGCATAAGAAATAATAATGCCTTCCCTTTTCCTCCGGCACCACGAGCTGTACGACCTACGCGGTGTATATACTCACGAGGATCATCAGGAGGATCTACTTGTACTATCCAGTCAACCTGTACAATCATACAACAAACCCTAAACCCTAAACCTTAAACCCTAAACCCTAAACCCTAAACCCTAATTCCGTCTTATTGTAGGGCAAGAATGCGTACCTTAGGAATATCTAAACCCCTTGCCGCCACGTCGGTACAAAGAAGAATTCCTTTCTGTGAACAAAAGTAAACAAAATACAACAAAGTAGCTGCCTATACACCTCAGGTGTATGTGTATATACACCGCAGAATACTGTTTTATGACCTTTTCTTCTTCTTTTTGTTTAATTGGCTTACCTCTGCCTCACAGAATTCATAATATGTAGACATTCTTGCTGCTTGTTTCTTTTTGCCATGTATACATGTAGTAGGTAGATCAATATAATTGAATAATTCATCATGAAAACGTACAGACATACAACTACTAAAGAAAACCATTACTTTTTTATCTTTATTTTTCTTTAAAAATGTAAATAATAAAAGAAATCGTTGCTCAGCAGGACATATTACATATCCTTGCTGTAAACCCGATACTGTTGCGACAGTATTTTGTACCTGCATGCAAACAAACACATGCATGCATAAATATAATACATTAAACTTATAAATAAGCATAAATATATATAATATATTATCTGTATAATATGTATATAATATATATATACACTAATATATACATTTATATATGCATGCAAATACCCCTTGAAACTGCTCGATGCATTAATGCATGCATGCATGTATGTATGCATACCCCAATGCATGCATGCATGCATATATTTATTAATATATATATTTTTGTGTATATTACCTGTACAAGTACGGGTTTTTTGAGGGAAAGTCTGGCTAAGTCTGCAACTTTAGCAGTTTGTGTAGCAGAGAATAGACAAGTTTGTCTTTGTTTAGGTAATAAGGATAAAATAGCATTCATTTCTTCCTCAAATCCAATCTCTAATATACGATCTGCCTCATCTATTACTAAGGATAATAAATTCTTATATACAAATCCCTGTGCATGCACAACAAACAATTATTATACATACATACATGCATGCATACATGCATGCATGCATGCATGCATGCATGCATGCATGGTGCAGTTCCCTTCCCCATTCTATACTTTTACCCCCCATTTTTCCAATAAAACTCCCTAGCACACCTGGTGGTAAACACCACCCCCACCACCCCCACCACCACCACAACCAACAGCAGCA